TTTGAATAGAGAAGAGACATGATCGCCCAATCATGTATCACACTTGGCACATAAGGAAGAAATTTAGTTTAGTAGTTTTAATGAAATTTCAACCTATACTGGGTCAGTCATTGATGAATATTCTTTTACTTTTGATTTTATTTTCTGTGATATTTTCTTTTGAATTAAATACTTGATTTACTAAGTGTAGCTTAGACGTGGCACAAGGCCACAAGTATGAAGCCCCCAGTGAGGATCAAACAGAGTACTACTCAGTCATAATTAATTTAGCAAGATAAGCTTGCTAACTATTACCATGTCAGAATGCCCAAATAGCGATTTACTAAACATATCTTAGATGTGGCACAAGGCTGCAAGTATGGAGCACTCAGTCAGCATCAAATTCACTATTCAGCCATAATGGATCTAGTGAGACTTGCAAACCAAACAGGGTAAAGTGTCCTCCAAAATTAAATAAGTTTTATAGGAACAAATAGTTTTTATGTTAACCTTTCTATATGAATCAAAATCAAGAAGATTTACATAAATTTTCAATGTTTTATGTTGGCATATATTTCTAATGTTTTATATATATATATATATATTTAGTGTATTGGGGTAGCAGATCATTATTTAAGCATATTAAATAGAACAGACCATGAATGTCTATTATGTCTGATAATGAGCTCTTCTAATGTTTGAATGTTTCCTTTAATTTCTGGTAAAAATAAAGACAAAAATTGTCCAGTATTTGGATATTTTTTTATCAAGTTGGTCCAAAGATTTCAGCTCACATGAACCATCCTCAGCAATTTTCTATGTCAAAATAACAAAATATCATCTTTGACAGTGGATATCTTTGTTTCATGCCTGTATAACCATTCTGAGGATGGCTCATGTGAGCCAAAAGGTTAGGACCGACTTAAGAAAATCTCCAAATGTTGGACAATTTTTGTCTTTATTTTCACCAGAAATTGAAGCAAACATTTGAATATTAGAACATCTCATGATCAGATATAATAGACATTTGTTGTCTGTTATATTTAATAATATATGTTTAAATAATATATATATATATATATATATATATATATATATATATATACGTGGCATATAATATATAAATAATCATATATATATTTATTTATATTTATATACACACACTTTTCACATATATTATTTATATATATATTATTTATATATTTTTTGCCTTTATATGTGCAGTACTTAGTGGAAAGCACTCAATTATAATTTTGTTGTATGTATGCCTGAATACATGCATATATATCTGCACCTGGCCTCGGATTGTTTATATGGGTGCATTTACATGAACTAAAATGCATACACCTCTATATAAATGTGTCTGTATATATGAGAGTGTCATTCTGAGCAAGTACGGAAGGAAATTCCCTCTCCCACCACCAAACGTAATCAAACAAGCATAAATAGATCTAATTTCTGTCTCACACTTTCCGACATCTGAGGCTAATTGTCCAAATCCATGTGATGCTACAAAGTCAAAATCTAAAAGCTCATGTCATGTTCTTCAATAGCTTTGTCATGTATGACAACTAACTCATTGAGTCTAAACTATCATCTATATCAGTGGCCTACAGTGTATGCCACTGGGGTAGCCCTTGTGTTTGTCGCCCTCCCCCCCCCCCCCCAAAAAAAATTTTAGATATTGCACAGTAACTCACTCTTAAAGTTATAAAACTAGTTTGTGTACCATCATAATATTACTTTCACATTCACAAATATTTTTTTTTCTTTTTATATGCCATGTCCTTTCAGGATGTAGGTGATTATGGCTCTCCATATCTCTCTATCCCTTGCAGCTCTTGACAAGCTCCTTTCTTCTGCTTCCTCCCCCAGACCACGTTCTGTCATCCACCTGCTCAAGCTTGTCAGGTATGTTGCTGCTTTCCCTTGTCTCTCTTTTCCTCTATTCGACCCATGAGTATCAGATTCTCCAGAAACTTCAGCTGCCTCTTTCTCACATCATACTTATTATAAAACCCAGGTTGTGTGTGTGTGTGTTTGTGTCTGTTCGTTTATATATTGGATCGGATTTCCTACATTTTTCAACCGATTTTAACAAAACTTCAAAGGACTTTGTAAAAATACCTTGCGGTGGTTCTGACAGCGCCAAAAATTGGAAAAACACAATTGTTTTTGCATGAAATCAATTTGAAAACACGATTAAGAAGCATCGCTGTCGCGAGAATGAAAGGGGGACAACTCACATTGAGTTATACTTATTATAAAACCCAGGTTGTTTGTGCGTGTGTGTGTGTTCTTTTATATATGGGATTGGATTTCCTACATTTTTCAACTGATTTCAACAAAACTTCACTTTTTTGGCAGGTAGTGTTTCTTATTGTCTTGCACACTTTTTTCTTTATTTTTACATTCAGAATGCTTTAAAAATTCCATTTACAAGACAATTGTTTATAATAAAATTCTATTCAATCGGTAGACTCATAACGATTGAAAACAATGTTTTTGTTTGAGTTTGGGTTTGACCAATTCCTAAAAAAAAAAAAAAAAAAAAAAAACTAATTAGGACATCCGTGTCCATCAACCTTAAACAATAATCTTTGTCAATTTTATTTTTCAGTCTTTATGATGGTCGATACTTGATCTATCTCTTACTGTTATATCCCCGGGCAATGCTGGGCTCTACTGCTAGTTAAGTATAAACCTTCTCCTTGTTTGTAACCTCTCTAAGACATCATTGTTGCTTACATGTTTGGTCCATGCTTTAAATACACATTAAATATACTTTAATTTTATCAGTAAGAGTTAAAAAGCAAAAACAACATATACGGGGGAAAAAAATGTAAAAAATTAGGACAATCTTTATTTCTGAAATGAAAATTACAACTTTCTACAATGGAACTTTTCTTGCTTTTTTTGTCTACAAATTCTTCAGTGACATTGTCATAAACCATTTTATCTTTCAATTGTCATTCTATAGACAGATAGGCCAATATATATGCCATAGTTTAAGTTACTCAAAATTGAAATGATCATTCAACTGTGAGTACTGTCTCAACATTAAAACCACTTTCATTTAAAACAATAGCCTACAGCAGACATAAAACTACCCTTCCACCACCACCATAAAAGTGCTGCCTAGGGGCAGACCACCCAGCCTGGATTGCCCTCCTCTAGCTACACCACTGATCTTTATATAACAGTTTTCTCAGATAAGTGATTGAAAATGGCTTCAAGTGAATTACTTCTTTATGCCTTAATCACAAAATCACAAAGAGATTTACCAAATAATAACAAAAACCATATCACTTGAAGATTTCCAACAGTAACAACAAAAATGGTTAGCATATGTAACCAGAAGAGAAAATAATTATATAATCAAGATGTTGACATTCTACACTACTTTAAATGAAATGATTTAAAGGAAACTAGAAAGAATGATGACAATGGACATCAGTTTTCAGCTATGTATTTATGAAAATGAGACAACTATTTACTCATGTCTTAGTAGCAAGCATGACAAATCTGACAAAGTAAACTTGACAACTTCTCTTGAAAAGAACTTCCAATCAGTGATTAACTCAGGCAAAGAATGGCTTGCAAATTTTAGCACCTCCAAAACAAAACAGCTTTCATTCAATTTCTGCAGAGAAACTTTTCTGCCTGCTAAACTCAAGGAGCGCAACACTTTGCACTTTCTCGGACTCACATTTTTTGCTGACATGAAGTGGAATAACTATATTGAATCAATTGCTTCATATACTGCTAGGAAAGTTGGGTCAGTGTGCCAGAAAATTTTTCTTGTTGGAAGCCATCTTATACATTTATAAATCTACCATTTGTGGATTGAATACTGCTGATATATCTGGTCTGATTCTCCTGCTGTACATCTCAAAATTCTTGAGAAAAATCCAAAGAAGGATCTGTAATGTTATCAATTCTGACCAGCCATCTTGACTTCAATCACTTTCTTACCAACGTGACATTGTTTCTCTCTGTCTTTTCTGCAAATATTTTCATGGAAACTGTTCTGATGAGCTCTTTTCCTGAGTGCCTCAACTTCATGAATTTAATTGTGCCACTAGATTGGCAACAAGATCTCATTATTTTAATGTTGAACTAACTAGATGTAACTGCCACTTCTATTCTACTAGATTCTAGGACTTCTCACCTGTGGAACTCCCTTTTCTGATTTCTTGCTTCTCTGATAACTAAATCATCAAAAATTTAAATGCAATATCAATCACCATATTCTATCTTCCTAAACACTGTACTTTTATTGTCCTTTCTCCTCATTAAAGTCTCCTTATTCTCTTTCAGTCCCTGTAACCCCCTGCATCCTAGTAGCATTGTAAAAAATGAGAAGTTTAATTTCCCTGAAAAAAACTGTTTTAAGAAAAAGATTTTACAAATTTCAACTCACAGTTATGCTAAATGTTCGGTCAATGAATATTTCCTTATAAAGAAACGGCTCCTCTTGCCATTACTATTACCATTACTGAAAGAGCAACCAGAATTTCTTTACATTTTGAAACAGAGCCACAGGTTTATTCACTTCTTACAGGCCCATATCTCTTTTAATCTCTTTTAATCTACATCAGAATGATGCAGACAATTCAGAATAGAAGATCTTTTTCTCTGAGCCCAAGAATTAAACCTTTCTCAGGTGTAATATGTCCAGCTTGTATTTATAGTAGCCAACTAGAATACATGTGTGGGCAAACCTCCAGGAGGTCCAGAGGCAGGAGAGTAGCTACTCACAACAGAACGGTAAGGGGTGTTCATGTTTAAATGATGGTGAAAAGAAAGGTTTGAGGATGGTTGGGCCAGGGCCAGCCCCAGGAGCCAAGCCAAAATATTGATGGAGCATACACTTCTTATTTGTCTGTCCGAGCTAAATCATATTCCTATTCACTGTTAGCAGTCAACTTCTGTTTCATCAACCTCAAATGACATCACCCAGAAGAAATTATAAAATGGAAGGAACTGCATATGTTACTTGGAGAAAACTAAAGTGAATATCAGTAGGGAATATTTTTCAGTGTGATATACACTCCTAGATAGAAAGATATGAATATACTGTGATAGATAGATAGATAGATAGATAGATAGATAGATAGATAGATAGATAGATATGAACAGAATGAGAGATTGGATATATATGAAAAAAAAAATAGAGACGGGTTAGTAGAATGTAATATAACATCCAAACAAAAGTGGGGATAATTAGACAAAATAGAAAAGCTTATTCAGACAATGTAGTTTGTGAGGAAAATGTATTGGAATATATGAAAGAGGTAATAAAGATCCTCATCAGATGCTGTGGTTCATACTGTGGCTTTGTCTCTCATTCTGGCCTGAAGATGCCTATGATAAGGAGGTGAAACATGTAGCTAAATAACTTTTTGACTTTGTCTCACAGATAGTTATGAACAGAATGAGATAGATAGATACATAGATAATTATGACCAGAATGAAATAAATAGATAGTTATGAATAGAATGAGATAGAAAGATAGATAGATAGATAGATAGAAAGATAGATAGATAGATAGATATGAACAGAATGAGAGAGAAGATAGATAGATAGATAGATAGATATGAACAGAATGAGATACATAGATAGATAGATATGAACAGAATGAGAGAGAAGATAGATAGATAAATAGATAGATATATAGATAGATAGATATGAACAGAATGAGAGAGAAGATAGATAGATAGATAAATATATAGATAGATAGATATGAACAGAATGAGAGGGATAGTTATGAACAGAATGAGATAGACAGATGGTCCAGTGCCACTTATTTATCTAGAGTTCCTTCACAAAATCTAAAGAAGAATCAACAATATTATTCATCCTGATTTGGTGGCTCAGTTTCAGTCACTTTCCCACTGCTGTAAGGTGGCTTCTGTGTACCTTTTCTATAGATATTTCAAGGTAATTGTTCAGAAAAAGTCTTTGCTATGATACCTAGACTTTTTAATTTAAGCGCAGTACTAGACAGTTGTCAAGATAAATTTACACATGAGTTGGCTAGATGTAGCCATAAATTCTATGTTAATAGTTTCTTTTCTTGCACTTCTCACTTGTGGAACTCTCTTCTGGCTCTATACTTTCCAGCCAACTTTAAACTTCAAAAATGAAAATGCAATGTTTTTGTTCTCGCTCATTAGTAATGTTTCTGTTTCTAATTCTTCCACACTCAGGAATTCCTTGCGTCTCAGTGGCTTTATTGCCTTGCTTGGGATTAAATGATTAAAAAAAGATAGATAGATAAAAACAGAATGAGATAAAAAGATATGAATAGAATGAAATAGGCAAATAGATTTTAAAGGGTTCTAAAAAGTTTCCAGCTCAGTGTAGTTCAATAAAATCTGACAAAACAACCAACCAATCAGAATATTTTTCTGAATCCTTTCTTGTATGAACTTTTCAGCACCCCCTCTTAGATATCATTAGACCAATGTAAAATATATACAATGTGAATGAATAAAGGAATAAATTAATGGGTTTAATTTTTTAAAAAAATCTCTTAATTTTTATATATATATATATATATATATATATATATATATATATAGTAATAATAATAATAATGGTAGTAGTAATAATAATAATTCTAAAACATTAAATATTTAGTCCATACTTCATGTTTCATGTTCTGGAGTGTAGACCCACTTCCTTGATGTAGGATAGTTGGTCATCAACATTGATATTTTCAAGTAAGTTTCTCATGCTGATTGTGCTATAAAATTGCTATGTAGTGTGTGTGAGATTGACTTATGGTCATGTTATGTTAAAACACTAGCACAAAGATGAACAATATTAAGCCTGGCCAGTAAACTCTAGAGAATACCAGGTGCTGTAAGCTAAGATGTATAGGTGGTGTAATGAATAACAGATCAGAATGAGAAATCAGAGAGCTGAGTTTGAATTTCAATTAGGAATTCTGTTACATTTACTTATACCTTGGGTGATTATGAATTGAAAAGAGACATGATTACACAAGCCATCAACATTCATTGAGTCAGCACAGCAGAGCATTGGTTCATGCCTCTCCATTAATCTGGGGAAGGCCTTCATCCAACAAAGACAAAGAAGGGTGTGAGTTCATAGGTATGCTATATTTATGGGTTAAAGTGCTCATTATCAAGGATAGAGCATATGTAAATATAAAAATGGACATTAAAGTCAACACCCAGAGATAACAGTTTGTTTCCTTCAAAACATAATTGTCAGGCTTTGTGCTTTTGCTTAACTATTTATATATACAGGTCAGTGATGCATTGTGAGTAGGGCTATTTTATTGCATCATGGGTAATCTGTTGTATTAATCTAATGGTTATTTTGGTGGGTGGTAATGCAGTTTTTTGGCAATTTATAGTGTCGTTAGTTAACTTTTTTATTTATTATTTATTTACTTAGTTTATTTACTTATTTATTTGTTTGCATTATATATATATATATATATATATATATATATATTATATATATTATATATATACATATAATACTCTCTTTTTCTCTCCTTCTCACTCTATCTTTAAATATATATATATATATATATATATATATATATATATATATCCAAATGAAAGAAAGAAAAGATAGAGTAAAATTCCACTGTTCATAGCATTTACTTTTAAAAAGTGCTCAATGCAAAGTAGAGCAACAATATATTATTATTATTATTATTTTTATTATAAAAGATTACAATAAAAACATATTGAAATTGCTACACAAAAGCTTTCATGTTTCAATACTATGGTTGTACTTCTTCAGGTGATGCTAAGTAACTGGTGATTAAATGATTGTGTAGCAATTTCAACATGTTTTTATTATAATCTCTTATAATAAAAATAATAAGAATAATATATATATATATTTGTAAGTCCAATTTCAGTAATTATGCAAATCACACAAACCTCAATCACTGAAAGTTTTTTTGAAAAATTTTTGTCAAATTTTAAACAATTAATTTAGACATCAAAACAAAGCTTCAGTTAAATTTTTAGCTAGTTTCCTCATGTTTTATTAAAGTTATTGGATTTGTTATAAAAACTCCAGTGTGAAGTTATTATGTCAAACCAGAAAATCACTTTTTACTTTAATAACAAAGTAATAAAATCATCATTCATTAATCAACGCCTATAGTCGAACAAATAAAAAACATATATGATAAGTCTTTGAAGTATTTATATTTCGATATAATGACCCTTCTTCTCAATAACAGCCAGCAATAACATGCATTGATTTCATTTAATTTTTTACTTCAGTAGATTCAATTTCTGACATGGTGGTCTTAATTGCTTCTCATAGGTCTGCTTTGCTGTCATATTGTTCAACACCTTCATAAAATTTCATCTTCACAATTGAGCATAGATTTTCGATCAGATCAAAGATCAGGACTAGATGGTCACCATTCCATTATCTTCTCTCCTATAAACTTTTATGCTCAAAACAATCATGGGTAATCTTAGATAGATGAGAAGGAGAATTGTCATGCTTAAATACACACTTCACATTGAAACAGAGAGGCTGGGACTTCTACCATTCAAAGGAAGTCTTACCCATGAAATTGCAATAGTTAGCACTGTTCAGTTTAACTCCTTCATCAAATTTGAATGGTTCAATAATGGTTTGATTGATAATTACAACCCATTTCATCACACTGTAGCCTCCTTGCTGCCTTCTTTTAGCAATAGACACATCTGCATTGGATAAAATCCATTCTTTGGTCCTTCCAGCAGGTCCATCTATCAGGACCATCAAGTGTCTCTTGAGATTAGTCTGTGAAAATTACTTCATAAAGACAATTTTCATGTCATTGTTGCCCTAATTTTGATGCTTTAAAATATTTGATTGACTGAGAGGAGTTTGCCTAGGAGATTTCTTGAAATATCCTAACTTGCAAAGTATTCTACACAGTTTTGTCCTTGACTCATGCAATTCCAGCCTGTTCCAATATCTGAGAAATGGTCAAAAGTCATTGTTTCGCTATAACTCACTTTATTTTATGTTCTCCTCAGGAGGCAAGTTCCTAAAGTCTTTTCCTTTGCTTCTATTTCTCAATTTAGTTATATTTTCAACAACCCTCTTTATTGTTCAATGATCTCTGTGGAGTTTCTTTGATATCTTCAAAGTGGACATTCCCTTATTGAATAATTTTGTTATTTTCTGTTATTCAGCATTTGTTAGATCCTTACCCATGTTTCAAAATATATTATGGAAAAAAATTTTAAAAAATAGTTTTTCTTAGATTTTAGATGCATTAAACATATATTAGTTTAATCTGCATAATAATTCCAGACTGCAGTTTTTATAATAAACCCAAAAACTTTAATAAAATATGTTGAAATTACCTAAAAATTTAACTCAATCTTTGTTTCAACACCTAAATTAATCATTTAAAATTTGACAAAAATTGTTCAAAGTAAATTCAAGTTATTGAGGTTTATGTGATTTGCATAATAACTTCAGACGGCCTGTAGTTTAAGATTGGCAAAGAATGGTCAGTATTGGAGATTGAGTGTTTATAGATATAGACAGTGTGGATATAGGAAATAACACTTCATGGTGACTGTCAGTTTCACACCTCAAGCAAATTTTGACCATGTCTTTAGGTCATATATATAAAAAGAGTGAGAATAAGAAAGAAAAGGTAAAAAGAAATGAAATGGTAAGAGAGAGAGAAACAAGAATCAAAGGAATAAAAGATATTATGAAAGTGAGGGGAAAACAAACCAACGGGGAGGAAAGGAGATAGAGAGAAAAAAGAAGAAAGAAGGTGAGAAAGGAAAGAGAAGAAATAAGGTACAGCAGGGAGTTGGAGAAAGGGAGAAGTCTGGTGGAAGGAGATGCAGTGTAGAGGAGGAGGAGAGAGGAGGAGGAGAGAGGAGGAAGGGGAGGAGGAGAGAGGAGGAGGAGGAGGAAGACAACAGGATAACTGGAAATAAAGTGGGACAGGGAGGATAATGCAAGAGAGAGTAGGAAGTGAGAAAACAGGAAGAAGGAGAGAGAGAGAGAGGGAGGAAGGAGACAAAAGAGGAGGAAGGACAGACAATCGAAAGGAGCAGGAAGTATAAAGGGTGTGGGTTAGGGTGGAAGGAGATAAATAGTGGGTCAGAAAAGATACAGCTTGAGAGGCAGAAGTGAGGTAGCAGGAATAAAGAGGGAAAGAGAGGAAGAAAACAGGGAAGGGAGGATGGAGAGAGAGAGTAAAGGGAAAAAAGAAGGAGAGATTGTATAGGCAGAATGGAAGGTGGGACAAGAAGAATGGAGCAAGAGAGAGAAGAATGAGTGAGGAAATGAGAGAGTAGGAGGAAGGAGGGATAGAGAGAAGAGAGTAAAAATAAGACAGGGAGAAAGAGGAGAAAAGAAATGGAAAGAGAAGAGAAGAATGAGAGAGAGAGAGAGAGAGAGAGAGAGAGAGAGTGAAGCAAGTGGGTGGGAGTGGATGAGTAGAGTAAAAGGAGATAAATAGGTGGGGCTGGTTGTAGAGTGAGGACATAAGAGAGCAGGAAGAAGGGGAGAAGAAGGAATGAGACATAGATAGGTAGTAAAATAGTGGGAGAGGAGAGGGAGAGTGTGCAAGAATGGATAGGGAGTAAGAGTAGAAAAAAGTAGAATGTGATAGAGAGAGAGAAGGGTCAGGAAGGAGATAAAGAGATGAGACGGGAGATAGTGAGAGATGAACTGAAAGAGCAGGAAGGGGGAGTGATAGAGAGAGGAATGAGGAATAAATAAAAGGGAGAAAAATAAGATAGGAGAGGAAGAAGGTGCAAGAAAGGGTCGGAAAGAAAAGGGAGAGAGAGGAAAAAGAATAAAGAGAGAGAGGAAGAAGGAAATAAAGGAAGAATGGAGGTGAGACAGAATAGATATATTATGGAGAAAATGAACAAAGACAAAAAAAATTGTAAATAAAACTCGAATAAAATTTAAATTTTGAAACTCTCAAGAATTGAAAAAAGGAGAGAGGGAGACATTAAACATATTATTTTTGTTCAAATTAAAATGGAACAAATGTTTTTTATATATACTTTTTAGCTTGAACAATGTCTTCAAATCAGGAAAAAGCAGACAAGTCAATCTCTCTTTTGCAGGTGTGCAGGAAAGAAACAAGAGGAGGTAGACAAATGGTGGATGATTGAAATTAATTAATAAGAAGCACGTGTGCCAGGAAGAAAGGCAATGGGTGCTTACAAAAGTAGTCAAATGAAAGAGAAAAAGAATAAATACTTATAGTAAAAAAGCTTTCTTATAACATACACACACAGATTCATGTATACATAGATGTGTATGCAGACATACACTGTACTTCATATATATATATATATATATATATATATAAAAGTGTTCATGGATGTGCATAGTATTTGAAGGTTTTAACACAGTTTTATATAATGGTAATTGTAATATTAGCTGTTACCTTATAAGGAAACATTTGGCATCCATTGACTGAGCAGCTAGTCCTACTTTCAATTTAAATTTATAAAATTTTACACTAGAAATAATTTATCAGAAAAATAAGTTTCTCAACTCCACTAGCTGTTATCGTTCTTTCTAGTAATGATGCATGTAGACTTCCTTCCTAACCTTTTCTTTCAAAAGGCTTGAATATAAAAGTGTATGTGCATGTGTGTATATATATATATATATATATATATATATATATATATATATATGTATGCATGTATATATGTATAAATGTGTGTATGTGTTACATATATATATATATATATATCTATATATACATGCAAGTATATTTATGCATTTAAATACATATTTATGCACACTCATAAACATATGCTGAAAGGTGCTGATAAGTTATCAGCCTAACCCACTTCTTGAAATCTGACCAAATTATCAAACATGGGATTTCATCTTAGAATATGTTCTTTCACATGCATGCATCCATATACGTATATTGGCTTAAATCATTTAAACTCACATTCATGAATATATATATAATTATTTATTTAAAAATATGATTCCAACGCTACATAAGAGTTCTCATGTTTCAAAACAAGAGCCGAAAACTTCACTATAATTATTTGAATTAAATTGAATTAAAGTACTAAGCTCAGTTCCATCTTCAAGCGAAATTTTTTTGGGAAAAAGATTCCCAAAAAAATTTCGCTTGAAGATGGAACAGAAGTTTTCAGCTCTTGTTTTGAAACATGAGAACTCTTGTGTAGCGTTGGAATCATATTTTTAAAAAAATAATTATATTTATGCTCTACTTTTGTATCGAGCACTATTTTTTTAAAAATAATATCAAAAATATTAAAGAACTTTGATTATTTACCTAACGAGTTTTTTCCTATTTTCTATATATTTTTACACACACACAGACATATATATATATATATATATATATGTGTGTGTGTGTGTGTGTGTGTGTAAATATATGGAAAAATAGGAAAGAACCGTTAGGTTAATAATCCGAAGTTCTTTAGTATTTTTGTTTTTATTTTTAAAAAACTGTGCTTGATACACAAGTAGAGCCTTTATAGAGATACACATTTAACAGTGTAACAAAAGAGCCAAAAACTTTCTGTCATTGAAATAGAACAGATGATATGCATTGAACGGATGTCATTATTCATTTGAAAAAAGCACCCTGACCCTACCTTGACTTAAGCTCTTTTCTAAAGTAACTAATATGTTGATACAATAGTTGTCAGTGAAAATGAATACCCTACTGCCTCTTATTAAAATTATTGGTTTTCTCCATTTCCATAGAAATTAATATTATGAATGTATATGCTTATAAATCTCCATAAATTTCAAAATTAGTTATTCCAAAATTCACTTGAGGATGAAACAGAACTAGGTACTTTAATTTAATTTAATTTCTATAATATATAGTTATTAGCTTCTGTTTTTGAAACATGAGAACTCTTATGTAGCAATGGAATAATATTTTTTACAAAATAATTATAATATATATATATATATATATATATATATATATATATATATATATATATATATATATTCTAATTTTCAAATTTTATTAGAAATTTGTTCTAAGGACCCTGGTGGAGAGTACATCTTTTTTATTGTCTCTTAAATATGCAGGCCAGTAGGCATAATATAAACTGTTAAAAAAAAGGGTGCAACTACTTTTAGTTAAATACTTGTGGCTTAAAAATAACTCTTTGGCCAGATCATCATCCACAAAATAAAATCATGAGATTATTGTAGTAGTAGTATGTAATTTTTATTCTCGCTGTAGACATGTGAGGCAGAGATGAAGTGAGGTAAGGGGAAAGTGAACAGCTGAGCCTTTCTCTTGCTCTCTTTGTGTTTTCTGCTGGTAGTGACCACTGTCTTATAGAGTACATTGTTCTTTGTCATGTCATCTTTGTCTGAAAAAAATTATTTATCAAGGTTTGGTTTTGTTCAGTGACCTTGATTTTACAGTTTTGATACTACAATTTTCCATGATTTTCTCACATACATTCATTTCTGCTCGATGCGTATCCAAATGTAAACAAATGACTTCACACATTATGAAATTGACAAAAATTGACCTTGCTAACCAAAACACTCTGTGGCGAAATCGGTAAAAGCATGTCAGGTTATATGACGGTTCTGTATAGAATACATGTTTGATTCCTGTCTGAGGACGCATATTTTCTATGACAATTTCTTGGACATTCAGGCCAGTAAATGTTGTTAATACAGTTTATTTACTTAAATGTTTGTATCTATAGAAAAGAATATATAAACATAAAAATGTCTTAAAATAATTGTTGGACTTTGTCCATCTCAGAATATATATATATATATATATATATATATATATATATATATATATATATATATATATATATATAGATATAAAAATTAATCTTTTATGTATATATATATAAATATATATGATATACATACATATTGATATATATATAATATATATGTATAAATATATATATATATATATATATATATATATATATATATATCAATATATATATATATATATATATATTCAGATAAGCGAATCTTGTTTTATATATATATATATATATATATATATATATGTGAAAAGTGTATATAAATATAAATAAATATATATATGTATAATTATTTATATATTATATGCGTGGTACTTTAAATATAAATAATAATAATTTTTATCTATCATAATTTTACACAAACCCCACCACACGTATATACATACATGCGAGGAAATATTTTTCAGCGGAAAAAAAAAAAAATATACATAATATGACATGTATACAGTCACAAGACACTAATGTGACATTTCCGCCACACTTCCAATGTTTAAATTTCAACATTTCAACATACAAATGCATATGTATAGACATAACACCACCCGTATACATACATGTGTCATAGCCGAAACTGCCCACATATGTTTATATATGTATGAGTCCCGACGGACGAACAAGTATGTATATGTGTCTGCATATATCGATGTTTGTGTTAGTACGATGAATGACGAAACGACGAAATTTCCCCCACCACTTCCACAATAACACCAATACACGCAATCTACATAAACCCAAATTTTTTAAAACATTAATCAGTTTGTCTGACGATCGCTAAAGCATGAAACCCAGGGTCACAAACTCACATCTATCCAACAAAAAAAATATATATATATATATATATATATATATATATATATATATATATATATATATATGCATATATTAGTTTCATTGAAGATGACTGATAAGGCACTGTGATTAAACTTTTGTTAAATTTTTCTTACATTCATAAAAGTGATTTATTTTCTGGACACATAGTGTAAAACTGTCCAAATGATTTCCTCATCTAATCTTTAAGCCTCTAGTAAGGATGTTTTTGCTAAACTGAATATATAAATTTTTTTAACTTTTAATTAGGATCAATTTAAATACACATAGAAACCTAGCCAAATATGGATACAATAATCATCCATATGCAAAAAGAGTTAAAAATAATGGAAGCATTAACAAAAAAGGAGAAGCCAACTCTTAACAAGGCTGTAATATGCTCACTGTATTCAGAAATTAAAATATTCCTGTAGATTCAAATTAAAGGAACTTGGACACACAATGGAAATAGAATATTTTATTTGTACACCTTTGTTCTTTGCATGTGTGTCCTTTCTAAAATGGTTGCTCAGCCTTTTCTGGGTAAGCTACATTCGTTCTGGTTGAAAAGTTGCCAAGGAGAGCAACTTGTGAAGATTAACAATTCTGATTGCTATATAGACATATTTAAATTTAATAAAAAAACCTAATTACAGTGCCTTGTCAGTCGTATTCAATAGAACTTGTATAAAAACAGGGATTGCTGACGAAATACACAATTCCAGAGCCTTCTCAATCCTGTTGTAGGAGCCCTTCTCTTAATGACCATGTCTTTAGTTGTGTAGCCGTGCTCAGCCTTCTTGTCCAGTTGAGTGTTGGTGAGGCTATTTAGCTGATAGTTGGGGCGGATGACCACAGACTCTCAGGAGTTCTTTAACAGCTCTGGTTTTTTGTACTGCTGGGGATTCAACTTACCCTCCTCACAAGACCAGTGTCTGGTGGGGGAACTAGTTTATGCATTGAAAACTTGACCACTCAAGTTTTGAATTCAGAGTTGCAAAGCTAAGGGGGACCCAGTCTGTCCTGCTATTTATCCATAGCCGTGCAACGAAGAGATAGATTCATGCCTCACCCAAAAGTAACAAACTTGACTGGAATTTGAACTTGGCTTACTAATTCTTCAATCTGAGGCACACTCTATTACTCCATTGTACATATATTTCTGTTATTGCAAGTAAAGGTCTGCATATCAAGTACTAATGAATTATGAATGCTATTTTCATTTGGATATGATGTATCCATTATAATAGTATGATTTTGTTAATCGTTTTGATGTTTTTGATCATTTATTTTTTCGAATGTTGTATATTTATTCTTATAACTTTATCAAAATCAGTTTATTGAGTTTTATATTTTGGAATTATAGAATTTACCTTTATGTCCTTATTTTTCCTTGATAAAATGTTCTTTGAAGCTTTAAAATAAAAAGTTATTTCACATTTAGACTTTTTCTTAACATCGTTCTGAACTTTATGCTCACTACTGTATATATATATATATATATATATAGCATAATGAGAAGCCAATTTGAGGACAATTTGAAATATCAAATATATATATAAATAAATAAATACTTTCATAAAATAAAACATTATAATTTTTAATGTGAAACTTTTTCTATATATATATATATATATATATATATATATATATATATGTATCAGATTCAACTGTCATATAGATTTACAAATGCTGTGTCTGCTCCTGGCCATAGTTTTTATGGGTGAGTAAGTTTTAGTAATTTTTACCTGGAATAGTAAAGATATACATTTTGCTGAAACAGAGAAATGTCTTCCTTTGTTAGTTGAGGATAGAATGAGTGTTAGTGTTGGCTTCAATTGTTGGCAATTTCTCCTTGGGGTCAAAGGCTTTTGGCCAAGCATCCACAGGTTGACTGGACTTTTCCCACAATTAGACTATATATAGATATATTCAGGTATGTAATTTATATAACCGGTAGCGTGAGTATGAAAATCAAGTCTACCCATGGCCAAGTTGATCACTGGGTATCAGGTTAACTCCTTTGTATATAAAATATATAAACATTTACTACAGAAATAAATTGCAAATGAGGAAAAAAGTATTTGATAATGCTGACAGAATAAGGTTATCAGATGAAAAATTATATAAAGATTTAATGAAAGAGAAAAGAGATTGTCAGTGGTTAAGAGTTATTTTTTAGGCTTATCAACTCCTTGTGGGTTATTTAAAGCCAGAACCTATTTTGGGTTGTAGAATGTTGCTTACAGTAACTGGTGTTCCCAAGTGGTCCAATATCTAAGAAATCACGAGGCACATTACTTCTTAACTTCTTGATTAAACAAAAAGTGGTGGGTTAATTGTTGAGGCAATGATAAGTCAAGGAATAATGTCATTAGATGTACAATATATAAATGTTCAATGTAGAAATTGATTGTAAATTGTTTTATTATAGAAAATGCAAAACAAAAGAGGTAAAATATATTTTCAGTGGTCAGTATTTAAGGCAAGCGTGATTGATAGAAGAAAGTTTTCTTTCTTTACACTAAATTTCGTCCAACGCAAAGCTCGAGAGCCTATCAAGGTAGAGGATTACTGCTAAAATAGTTATAATAAATGAGGTGTCTAATATGAGTGAAAGATAAGCTGGTAGGAAGTGAAAATGACGGGGATAAAGGGAATAGATAATAAATGATATTTGATTTAAGTAGCCCTGGGCATGACAATAAACGACATTTTGCAGCAAGGCCTCTGATTGTGAGATTTGAGATTTTGAGGAGAGTGGAACCAACCCATAATTGTTGTTGTTCCCAGTTCCATTCTGACTCATGAAAGTATATAAATAAGTTTTTATAGTAAAAATATAAACAATACATTTTTATATAAAATAAAATTACCAACAATACCAATTTATAGTAAAAATTGCCAAGAACACATTTCATCAGTTGTTGAAGGTATACACTTGTGCTGAAAATATATTTAATTTCTTCACTTCGAAACCATTGACTTGATGCTCTTTGCAACACAACAGCATCAGGTGTTCTTTTTTTGCAATTAATTTTGATTATTCCCAAACTTATTTCCAAGTTATAAAAATTGTTATCATCCAAAAACATTTGTCACGAAAAATCACATAAAAAAATTCTAAAAACGATGACAGTAATGAAACTTGAGGATCCAAAATTTCAGGATTATGGGTCCAGATCCAGCCCAGAATGTTTTTAATTTGTTCACAGAGTCAGACTGATTCCAAAAACATATGATATTTTGGGCTATGACCTCTAGGAGTAAAGTTGAAAACAAAGACAATTTTATTTTGAAACACTGTAATTTGAGAACAGTAACAGTGCTATCTTCCCCCCATGAATATGGAATCGGCTATTGCTCAACACTTAGTTCAGAATATAGCCTGCGTCAAGTCGTATAAAAAAGAGTTGTTTCAAATTATTCATACAGCTGACTCCAACAATCATTAGAAGATTTTGGAATCGGTCTGCATAGGATTAAGGAAACCTTCTCTCTGCCAGTAGAAAGAATTTGTAAAGTCTCTTAATCTGTTAGGGGATATTTTATTTTAACTGTCCCTTGCTAATTTATTTACACGTTATTTCCCCTCCCCTCGTTACAAGTATATACACTTGTTTGTTATTTTAGTGTGTTTCCCCCCTTTTTTGCTCTTCATTTTCGTTAATATTCTTTTTGTTAATTAATTATCCAACGATTGTCTCCTGATGAGATGTTGGTTGAAAGGGCCTTAGAGACTTTTAAAATTAAAATCAATACATTCCTTGTTTTTAAAACTATATATAAAATTTGTACCTCTAAGCATTTGTTTATATATATATATATATATATATATATATATATATATATATATACTGCAACTATGCTGAGCAGACTTTAATTGTAGTTTTTGGGAGAGAGCATATAATATGTTATGATCTTTAGTTTGAACAACATCAGTATGCTCAAACTCAAAACCTCGGTCATGATGACTTGTAACTTTGTGCTAGCACAACAATCAATGACTTTTGAACAGTTTTGTCTGCCTAATTTCACTTATAAGGCTTGGGTCAGTCCTTAGTGTAGTTTTCATGCACTTCCCAAAGGGGCTGCACACAGGCCTCAAAGTGGTTTGACTGCTTAAATTCTATTGGATTTTTCAAATATTCTAAAAAGTTGCACATCCAAATCAATATTTTAGATAAACTGTCTGAAGTTCATGTTTTGTCTCCTTTTTGTTCAAATACTTTTGACTTTCTCAGTCATTACCAAGAACAAGGTATTGTCATCCATATACACATACACACATACAATACACACACAGCATGAACCAATATTTTCATATGCAAAACTTCTTAATATAAGTTTTCATGAGATTTTTTGCTATTCTTGCCACTTTTGGGAAGTTCAGGACATTTTGGTCTGGATGGGAGAAAAAATATGATTAATTCTTTCTTTGAACTTGCCAAAATCTAGAAGTTCTTTATTTTTCAATCCAACTCAACAGAAAGAAGAAATCTGTATAAAGCTCCAAATAAGCAAAACAATAACATGTCGATAAAATGAGATTGTAAAAGGTTTTTTTTCTCTTAAGTTCTTTAAAAAGAATATCTTTACCCAATTGCAAAAGATTTAAATCAATAGAATTGGTTCCAGAAAGAGAAAGATCCAAACAAATTTTAAAAAAAATCTGAGACAAAATCTTGTAAAAACTATTTTCTCTAAAAATAAAAATTGAAAATAACACTTCAGAAGTGATTCCACACCAAAAAAGAAAGTGTCATGGTGCCCATGGGCTCTGAGTCCATGAAAAGAAACCAAAAAATATATATATATATATATATATATATATATATATATATATATATATATATATATATATGAATATATATATATACATATATATATATGAATATGTATATATATATATATATATATATATATATATATGTATGTATATATATATATATATATATATATATATATATATATATATATATATATATATATTCATATCTATTTATATATATATGCATATGTATTTATTTATATATATATATATATGTGCATATGTATTTATTTATTTTATATATATATATATATGCATATGTATTTATATATGTATATATGTATATATATATGCATATGTATTTATATATGTTTATATATATGCATATGTATTTATATATATATATATATATATGCATATGTATTTATATATATATATATATATATATATATATATATATATATATATATATATATGAGCACATGCTTGCATTTTTAGAATATTTGCTTTCTAACCATGAGAATTGTATTTGAACCTTACAATACTCAATTTGTCAGGAAGGTGACATCTTGTTGTTATTATTCTATTGAGTTTGTCTCAGAGTGTGGCACCATTGCAAAGTGACTGAAAACCATACCATGGGTTGACTCAAGCACTGTAAGTGAAATTGGGTTGATGGAACTGTTTTTATTTTTTTTCCTATGTTATGCTTGCATGAAGTCCCAAGTCATTGTGACCAAGAGGTTGAATGTTTTGGCCTTATTCAAACAGCTGATCATGACAAATTAAATGCTCTCTCTCTAAGGTTTGTTCAGTATAATTGCAGTATAAACCACAGGTTGACTCTGTCGGCATTGAACAAGCACAAATATTCCTGAGCAGGTGTCTGCAACAGGGATTAGTAAGCAACCCCAAAAGACAGATGCTCCATACAAAATTCAACATTAAATAACCTTTCCCAAGGGTATTAGCACATAAGTAAATATAATGGATTTGACTAGAATTTGAACTTGGTTCTCCGATTCCTCAATTTGAGCCACTATCCATTATGCCCCCATGCCTCCCTCTGGAAAATAGGTTTCTCATGTAGGTGTTAACATTATTTCCAGTATTGTTGGGGGTTTCCTTCCTAACCTTTTATTTGAAGTCATGTGGAATATCATAATCGTTATTATTTTTCTCTTTGAGTGACGTGTGATATCCATTTTATGTGTTGCTGATGTTGAAAGTCCACAAGTGATGTGGTTTCTGTTATTTGGTACAGTTCCTTGTGATTCTCTAGCACCAGTTCCCAGTGTTTGAAGAAGGATATTTATTATGTTTGGCTAAGTGCAAATTAATGGTCCATTCATGCATAATTAAATATATATCCATGAATATATGTATATATAAAAGCAACTGAAATTACACTGAAAGAAACACCAGTCTCAAATTAATAATGCTAGAGCAAAATCAACTGAATCAATTGCTAGTTCTGCTGCTAGGAAAGTTGGTTCACTGGGTCATGGTAGATAATTTTTCTTGACATAATCTATTTTACATATTTATAAGTCTTCACAATGCTGCCCCATATGGTCTGGTGCTGCTGTTAGAGATTCTTGATAAAATTCAAAGAAAGCTGCCCAGTTCTAACTTTCCAGTCTTGACAGAGTTCAAATGTATCTCCTAGTCTTTGTTGGAGAAGAATTATTTTCCAAACTCCAATCTCTCTTTCACAGGCACAGGCAGGATGTGGCAAGCCTCTCACTGCCCTATCATTACTTCCATGGAAAGTGCTCAAATGAACTATCGGGTCATCCCATAAGTTCTGTCCAAATTTTAAATAAAGAAAACAAGTGACCAAATGTTACATTTAATTACAGATTCAATCAACAATGTATTTTCCCTGATTATCTATGATTTCGTTCCATCTATTAACAAGCTTACTAATTCCATTACTGTAAAATTCTTTTGGCTTTGATTTGAAGAACTCACAAATGTCAGTTTTAACCTCTTCCTGTGTTACAAAAGCTGTTTCTTCCAAATGATTCTGCAAGCTATGAAACAAATGGTAGTCTGAAGGAGCAAGATCGGGAGAATAAGGTGGATGAGGAGTTTTCTCCCAACCAAGTT